TATATTTATATTTGTGTGTATTTCAAATGAAAGAAATTATAATAAAACCCCATTCCTCTATGTCTCATTGTTACTTATTTACCTGCTCGCAGAAGAAAGAAATGTAACTTTATATGCATGTAGGCCAGGAGATTCCAGGAGGAATGAGTGTGTCATACCGTATTGAACAGTTGTGGGGGATGAAGATCACGTTTACTCTGACCAGTTCTTATGTCATTTCTGTACATGTGGGCTCAGCGAACCAAGGTAGGGGCTTTCCCCACCTTTCACTTCCTGTTTGTAATTGTTGTGTCTTCCTTCTGTTTCTCTCTCTCTCTCTCTCTCTCTCTCTCTCTCTCTCTCTCTCTCTCTCTCTCTCTCTCTCTCTGTTTGTATTTTTTGATCAATTAAAATCTGCAGTAAATATTTGTAATTTTGCTCAGACTCGCTGGACATCCACCTCATCCCATTAAATATTATTTCAATCTGATAAACTTTGCCTTGTGTTGTTTTTATATATTTATTTATTTTAATTGTGTATTTTCTTGTCATTTGAAACAGTTTACTGCAACCAAGAAAATGTAAATAAATTTACATGTGTAGCCTAATTGATTTTGTTTTTAGTAATGTCAAAACAATACTAAAGGTTTGGAATTAACATAAATCAAGTTGAATAATATTTTAACTTTAAAATATGTTAAATCAATACACAGAAGCTGTGCATTAATTCGTTATTCCTGATAAATCATGTCTCATGTTTCACTTCCTTGTCTGTCAGCGCTGCCTTCCTCTGATTGGCGGAGAGGATGTCAGGACGTGTTCCTTCCTCTGAATGGCGGAGAGGATGTCAGGACGTGTTCCTTCCTCTGATTGGTTGGATGTCGGGGTCAAAGGTGATACAACTTCCACTAACGCTGACGTCGACTTCTGCAGGAAAATGGCGTCGTCGACAGCATCGAGGGGAGCTAGCCGGTCCAGTTCTGTATTAATGTCTAAAACACAAACCGGGATGAGGTCAGCACGGTGGTTTAAACATTTCGACAGAAATGTGATCTTATTTCTGTCGTTTGCCTCCATGCTGCACTGTGCTTTGGCTGACGGCAAGACGCTGGTGCTGCTGGACAACCTCAACATCAAAGACACCCATTCAATTTTCTTCCGCAGTCTGGCAGGTCAGTGAAAGAACGATGCTCTTCAGTGATCGTTTTCTCATTAATAAATATAGATTTTTAGTGTATTGTGTTTATTCTGGCCATAAAGAAAGAGCTGTTTGGACAAAGCTGTTGAAATAATAATGATGCGGAAAACATCCTGCAGTAATAGACTCAAATGAAGACTCAGCTGAATAAAGCTTTAATAACAATAACTTAATAAGAAGRAAAAAAAATTAAGCCATCTTTAAACGTAAAGTAGAGAAATAACCTGGATGAATACATTTCCATCTATTTTGTCTGCAATCAGATACAATGACAGGTCATTTTTTTCTGGGTATTGATTAAAAACGTTTAATTACATGTATATAAAAGTTAGTTGAGTGTTATATATCAACAGAACCAAAAGAAACAACAAAACTGAAATGATTCTGAAAGAATGTTTTGTCACTTGCACAATGACTTAATGTTTTTATTTGTTATTTGTCTGATGAATTATTTTTCAGTCCTTCAGTAGWGGTGTTGCAGAGAAGCTTAATTTTCTGTCATGTTTTTAAAGGCTGATGCATAAAAACAAAAACACTGTTTCAGATCGAGGTTTTGACCTCACATTCAAGACGGCTGACGATTCATCCCTGTCTTTGATCAAATACGGGCAGTTCCTSTACGACCATTTGATCATCTTCTCACCATCCGTTGAGGGTAAATGCTGTCTTGTGTTCAAAGTCCAAAACCCTTTGATTGTTCATGTTCAACTTCATCAATCTGTGAAATTCAAAATTTTATTTTATTATTTTTATATTTTTGTTTATTTTCAGACTTTGGTGGAAATATAAACGTGGAGACGATAACGTCCTTCATTGACGGCGGCGGCAATGTCCTGATTGCTGCTAGTTCTGATATTGGTCAGTTTATTGATAAAAGCTTTACATTTAAATACTTAAATGTATGTTTATTCATATAAAATTTGTCTTGTGGAACAGGTGACCCTCTGAGGGAGTTGGGCAGTGAATGTGGCATTGAGTTCGACGAGGAGAAAACTGCCGTTATTGACCACCACAACTACGATGTGTCTGACCCTGGCGAGGTAAATCAGTTTCCGTTTGCTCATCAGAACCATTAACTGGGTCTGAGATCTGTCTCTGAGGGTTGTGACTTACAAATTGTCTTGTCTCCAGCACACGTTGATTGTTGCTGACCCAGAGAACATGCTGAAAGCCCCTTCTATTGTGGGCAAACCTACCAATAAACCTGTTCTATTCAAGGGTGTTGGGTAAGTACAAAATAATCAACAGTAAACCAGTGTCGTTATGAGATCACATGATTGACCGACTGATGCTAAATATGCAAAGCTCCTAACAGAAGCAAGTCTCTTACTGGTTTCATTTAATAAATATCTAAATTTATATTAATTAAGCTTATTTAAATTGTGTAAAAYTGATTTCCAGAATGGTTGCTGACCCGGACAACCCGCTCGTTTTGGACATCCTTACTGGCTCTTCAACTTCCTACTCGTATTTTCCYGAGAGACCCATCTCTCAGGTAAAGTCACATTTTCTGTTCAGCTTTGTTCAGGACGYCCTGTTCATATAGGTATTTTATGTGCATTAGTTGTATTTGCTTGTGCTTATTTGCCTTTTTGTTTGAACTGCAGTAAAGACGCATAGATGAGCCTTAAACGCTGCTCAAAAATCAAATCAAAGTTTTAAGCAAACTGCAGTCTGAGAATTTTTTTGGACTGAACTGCAACCTTTGCAAAAATCCATCTGATATTACTTTTGAAACCACCTCCAAATTGTGTCAGTTTGCAGAAAGTAGTCAAACCAGTTTTATAAAAATCTGACAATAGGCTGGTAGTTCAACAAGGCCTAAACATTAATGATGTATGGCAAGCTGTTGTGTCATATAATTAATGATGTATGGCAGGCTGTATTTTTGAGTCCCTCATGTCAGCCTGTGTGCATTTTGGRTTCTACCTTGACAAGAGCAAACAGAGAAAACTGAATGGAATGAAAAGTATGAGAATAAATTAAAATTTTCTGCACTCGACAAAATGTATTTAAGGGCTAAAAGAGTGGATTTTGAACAATCTTTAAAACCCTCAAACTTTGAGAAATGATGTCTTTTAAAATAACCTTACCTACAATAAAATAAGAACAAAAGAGGAAGAAAAACACAAGGCCTAAACATTTGGTTTAGTTACAACAATACTATATTATAAAAGTACACTACAGAACTCCACAGAGTGGAATTGGTGGAGGATTCTAAGAGTTTGAATAGAAAAAGGATGTCCAGTTGCCTCCTATTTTTTTTTATCTTTATTTATTACAGGGACAGTGCATATTAATAACATTTCTGTAAATATGCCAGAATTAGCCAGAAGGCTATTTTTCACCTGCAGTCCACAAACAGATGGTAAAAGTCACCCTAAAATATTAAATGTAAAAGTATTAAAGGTAAAACTACATAATTACAAAATACAATACACTGTAAAATGCTTAAATATAATAAGCTAAAATGCATATAAAAACACATAAACCAACTAGTAAAAGAAACATCAAACAAACAATAAACCCACACATGAGACAGATTTATGATTAGTGTCTGCTGGCAAACGGTTTGATATTTCTAGGATTAACAGGGAGGGGAAAAATGTGAAAAATGTTATTTCTGTAAACTTTTCTATAAATCCTATTCTCAGTTTTTTGCTACAAGCTAAAGCAGCTATTACTGCCTTTTGTTTGTTTTAGTTTAAAGGTAACTTTTCAATAGAAAAGTTGCAGCATCCAATAGGGYTGTGTATTGGCAAGAATTTGGCGATTACGATACATATCATAACAGAGGGGTCACGATACGATATATCCCGATATATTTCGATACTGTAAGCAAGGCAATATATTGCGATATATTGCGATTTTTTTTGTCCAAAAATTCTATTAAATAAAAACCTCTTACTGAAAAAAAATGAAAAGCTAATGTTTACTTACAGTGCTTACATTGTCTCCTACAATGCTAACGCTACCCTTACTCTCTGGCACTCAAGAGGTAGAGGAGCCAAATGGCTGGTTCACTGCTGCCAACTAGTGGTCAGAGGCTGAACTACAACATAAAAATTAACGGTTGGCAAGAAGGTTGACATTTTAAACCTTAATTAAAAATCGGTACAGGGCTTTAGAATATCGATACAGTATCGGGAAATGAAATATCGCRATATTTCAGTGTATCGATATTTTCTTACACCCCTATCATCCAAAATCATAGCTTGCATGATAGTTTCTCTCGCAGGCAAAAATAACAACAGTTTTGTAAAATGTCTTCTTCTGCTCCAGTACCCCCACGCTGTGGGTAAGAATACCCTCCTGATTGCGGGGCTCCAGGCGAGGAACAATGCCAGAGTGGTTTTCAGTGGCTCTCTGGACTTCTTCAGCGATGCCTTTTTCAACTCCGCCGTGCAGAAAGCCAGGCCAGGTTCACAGAGGTACTGGATTCCTTTTTATTTCCCTGTATGCACTTCTAGTATAACAACAAAGAAACAATTTTAACACGAGTAAGTTAAAAAGTAAGGGTTCTTATCTTCTCATCTTGTGGTATATAACAGACACGATCAGACGGGAAACATGGAGCTGGCTGTGGCTCTGTCTCGCTGGGTGTTTAAGGAGGCAGGAGTCCTCAGAGTGGGCGCTGTTACCCATCATCGTGTGGGAGAATCCACTCCTCCAGCAGCGTACACTGTTACTGACCTAGTGGTGAGTTTTTCACCATCRTTGCCGTGAAGATTAGTTTATTTTCCTCTAAAATCGGAGCCCTGTATCTGAAAGTAAATGTTTTGTTTCAGGAGTACAGCATCGTCATCGAAATGTTGTCCGAGGGACGCTGGRTCCCGTTTGACGGAGATGATATTCAGCTGGAGTTTGTGAGAATCGATCCCTTCGTCAGAACTTATCTCAAGAAAAATGGTATGCCATTCTAGATTCAGCACAAACCAGTGGCTTTTAGCTGTAAAACCACTATACGTGTATGTTTTATCATCTTTTAGGAGGTAAATACAGCGTCCAGTTCAAGCTGCCTGATGTGTATGGAGTCTTCCAGTTTAAGGTGGACTACAACCGACTGGGATACACACACCTCTACTCCTCCACTCAGGTAAGTTGAATTTAAATAACACTTTCAACCGATGCATGTGTTCATAATTTCACCTCTACGACTGTGTATCATCTTCAGGTATCAGTACGGCCCCTGCAGCACACTCAGTACGAACGCTTCATCCCCTCAGCCTACCCATACTACGCCAGCGCCTTCTCCATGATGGCGGGACTCTTCGTCTTCAGTGTAGTCTTCCTGCACATGAAAGAGAAGGAAAAGTCAGATTAATGCAGAAACGTCAACTGATTTTGGGGGGAAAAAAACAAATGTGGAATTGAACTTGTGTGAAACTGAATGTCTCGGTGGCTTGAGTTGTTTCTTTTGTTTTATYGAGGGCACTCAAAAGGTATTTGGGTCAAAAAGTGGGGTCTTGCTGCAGTGCAGTGCAGTACGTTTTGTTGAGATATGCCTTGAAATGTCCCAAAGCCTAAATGTTCTAAAGTCAGTCAGCTGTTGTACAAAGTTGCTTTACGTTTTAATTAGTCTCTTCGCTAAAGCAGTTTGAAATCATGTCAAAATGACCGACATTTTCTCAATTAGAAAATGTATTTTTGGGTAAACACATGCACTGAAAATGCCAACTCTTCCCTTGTTTTGTAAAAATGTTTGCATTTTGAAAAAAAAAAAAAAAACAGAAATCCACTTCAAATAAACATTTTGACATTCCTCTTAGGACGAGTCATTGTGCTTTTTTGTTTATAAAAATAGTACAGTTTTATTAATATTTGAAACTCATGTTCGATTTATACATTGCCCCAAGTTGATTTGACGATCAAAAGCTAAATGAAATTTAGTGTTAGGGGACATTTAACACTTTCTAAACCAAAATATAGGGGACAACTAGGTTTGGTTTTAACGCCGAAAACTAGAAATAGTTGTGAAGCTTTAAAACGCATCACAATATTATCAATGCAGTTTTTTTCGCGTAAGAACAAGCGCAAAATCTCTAAATGCGACACTATTTGAATGCCATTCAGTTCTGGGGAAAGTCACGTTTTAGTGACGTCATCCGTATGGCTCTGGTTCCGCTGGAAGTACATAGCATCTGATCTTAGCATCCGTTTTGACAGCTTGAATAACAAAACAAACAAACAAAAAAAGGTAACAACAATTGACCTGGTTAGTACATGTATGACATGAATATTGTTAGCGACACTCTCTGCGCAGGGAACTAAAAACCAGCTGTTCAACCTCAAAAACAGCTGCTTAAGCTAACGTGAAACAAGCTAATCAGAGAGGTTGGTGGTGACGTGAAGCTTCCCGGGTTTACAGARGTGAAGTAGCTGCTGTGCAGTGAAAATACGAGTTCACAGCTTGACAAACTAGAGCTGTGCGTGTTTAGGTCAGAAGAAAATTGCAGTCAAAGGTTGTGTTTAGCTGATGTGGGCGGCGTTAGCTTCAACAAAAAACGCGCATTGCTTTGTGAAAGTCAGCTGACAGCCCGCTGTGTCTGCTGCTGCCAACASCACCAGCCCGGTGATGGATCAACTGAAAGTGAAGGATCGCATTTTGGAAAACATTTCTCTGTCTGTCAAAAAGGTAAGCTTTAACAGTTTAACGACACGGKTTTTTTATTTTTATTTTCATGAAACATCTTGTTTTTTGTTTCCCACACGTCTCGAGCTATTGTTAGCTAATGTTAGGTCATCTTGTTTGCGAAAGGCAGGACAAGTTTCACTCCCAGAGGATCTCGCAGTCATAAAACTCTGAAATAAACAATAATATAATGAAATAATGCTCTCCTATGTCATTGATCCAGTTCATAGTTGTTTTTGGTGTTTTTGTCTGTAGTGGCTCTAAGCTCACTGCGGCATGTGATGTAAACAAGGCTGCAGTCAGACCTGTCCTGCAGTAAAGGTTACTTAGCAGGTTTTTGTGCTTCAAATTTTTGTACTTAACTATTTTTTTTACATCTATAGTCTGTCCTAATTAGTGTAATGGAATAACCYTTTCAATAACGCAATAGCAAGCGTCACAGTAACTTAGTGTGTCACTGTTTATTTACACAAGAAAGAAAGCTTCTTGTGTGTTTAATTCAGCCAGCAAGTTTCCTGTCATGCTACTTTAATTCTCATTTTTTAGGATCAGCCACCCTGCCTGTTTCTCCCATTAAATAACAGCACAAAGACCACAGAAGGCTTTTATGAACTGTACCTTGAGTTTCAAAGCAGATGTACTGTTTTACCCCTCAAAATACAACTTGATCGTGTGGAAATAGTAAAAAAAAATGTTWAGAGACAGAATTTCAAAGCAACACTTATTTTGCTCATGGCTCAGAATTGTTTGTATTTAGGAAACAAATCGTTTCAGTACAGCTTTCTATTTTATTTTACTTTATTTATTTTTGTTGGTACCTTTCCACAGAGTTGCTTACACGTCAAATGTACTTTTTATTTATTTATTGTTCTATATGTGTTTGTGTGTTTTTACTGATTCATAATAACTACAGCAATACAATTTACAATTTATGTATTTAATCAATTTAATCTGAGTTATCTCTTCTGTAAAGCCATTGTAAAATTATTACATAATTCAAAATACTGTAATCACTAAATGACTCRGTGTAGAAATTCAATCATTTAACATTTCTTTTGTTAAAAAACATTTAATTTCTTGTCTGTGTGGCTRTTGAAACTCTTTTACTTAATAAGGTTAAGTTTAAATTGCAAAGCAGGCTGCTAAGAAGATGTGTCTCTCTGCAGTTGCAGAGTTACTTTGCAGCGTGCGAGGATGAAACTCCAGCTATCCGAAACCACGACCGGGTCCTTCAGCGCCTTTGTGAACACCTGGACCATGCTCTGCTGTATGGGTAAGTAAGTTACTGGAGGACGGGGACAAAACCTTTGCGTGAGTTAGATTTGTTTTCGTTTTTTTTTTGTTGACACGTTTATAGAAAGTAAATCTGAAGTGTGCGCTCGGCATTTTTCAACAATAAAACCGCTCGGCTCGTTCACGCATCGCGCTTGTGTTTGTTTCATTATTTTAGGCTGCAGGACATCTCGTCAGGCTACTGGGTCCTGGTCCTTCACTTCACAAGGAGAGAGGCTGTCCGACAGATAGAGGAGCTTAAACACATAGCAACCAACCTTGGTCGAAGTGAGACATCTTTACTGCAGAGTGGATGAAACGTCACTCAGTGACTCATCATTTATCACTTAGAGTTTTTTATATATGTTTAAAAAAGCTTTTATTGGTTCTCTGCAGGTCGTGCATGGTTGTACCTGGCACTGAGTGAGAGCTCATTAGAAAGCTATCTGCGTCTCTTCCAGGAGAACCAGGGACTGTTGCAAAAGTATTATTTCAAGTAAGCASAATATTTGTTTTACCCCCCACAAGTAGCTGTCAATCACGCATATTTAACTAATATAATGTCTCTTCCAGAAATGCTTTGGTTTGCAGTCACGACCACCTCACGCTCTTTCTCACGCTGGTGTCCGGACTGGAGTTCATCCGTTTTGATCTGGAGCTGGTCAGCATCAACTTCACATTATTAGAGACTCAGCTTCTAAACGTTAGCAGTGTTGTTGTTGGTTTTTTTTTGTTGTTGTTTTTTGTAACATTGTTTTATTTGTCTCGGTCGGTTCAGGATGTGCCCTATCTAGATGTGGCTCCGTACATGCCTGAATATTACAAACCACAGAACCTRCTGGACTTTGAGGAAAGGCTTCCCAGCTCAGACAGTATATCYCTGCACTCCTTCACCTCCCTCACGTCCACCAACTTGGAGTGGGACGACAGTGCCATAGCTCCCTCCAGTGAAGGTACGTAACCCTGTGTCTTTTGAAGTAGTTAGATTTTGTATTTTTAATCCCTCAAGTCGACTCACAGAATAACAGCTTTTATTTTGAAGTTTTAGCTTGTAGAATGGGGAAGTAGCTAGAGTGAGCCTTGAAAGGCCTTGTAAATAATACAAACTAAGATGCAGTTTAGCTACAGGATCACATGGCGTGCAGGCGGGTGACTACATAATGCTTTTTGGGGGATTAATTTCAGCACTCAGTCATGGCTTTCCTCATAAGTAGCCACAAAGAACTGAACCAGTTCCTCCTTTTTTTTAGTTCCAACTTCTCTATTTTACCCTCATTCATTGTTATTTCACATTCCACATATTGTGTTATTTTTAAGGTTTCTGTGCCATTGACTCGTGTCTCCTCTGTCYTGACTTCACTCCATCCTCCTCTAATGTTAAATGTTATCCCTCCTTTTTTTATTTTAGATTATGATTTTGGTGACATATTCCCCGTGTTGCAGTCATTGCAGAGTGCAGACTGGGAAGGTGGGACATTGGTCAACCCTCTCCTCCCAGCAGTTCCATTCTATGTTCTCTCTCTCTGCCTCGCTTCACTCTTTTCTAGCATGGGTTTGTGCATCGTTTTGTGTTTTAATGCATGGTGGGTTACTCAGAGTTGCAAAACAGATAAGTGAAGCAACCGATGTGGATAAAAAGGTTTGTCTCTCTTGGAAGACATAGCTTTTTTGTTTTTCATGAATTTTGCATTGAGTTAATACATTCTTTGCATCACCTGTAGGCATTAATCTATTTCATCTATGAACACGAAACAAGAAGTTAGTTTCTTAATTTTCATATTAAAATAAGTTTTAGGAGAAACAAATTTCTCTGAAGATATTTGTACTTGAATGAATGATTTTTATTTGGTCACATTAAAGAATACTTCACACAAAAACAAACAACTTTAACACGGGGGCAGCGTTAACTCAAATTTTAGTTGCGCAATTTCTAAAGCGCTAGTCAGTTTATTTAGGTCCGCAAGTTCAAAAGCGCATATGCTCAATAAAACCTAGCAGAAGCTAAATACAAAGTGCAAGATTTTCTCCGTTTACCAGAAAACAATCAGTTATGAGTCAAGGCAGCACTTTACTGACATCTAGTGGAAAGATCTTTTTTTTTCACAGATTGGCACGTGTCGTCGCAGTTTGGGGAGGTGATTTGTTGAAACACTTTTAAATCATGATGTTAAAAAACAGTTGTGGATTACTAGTTCTGCTGCTTCTTGGTCATTTTCTTATGTTTATGGCAAGGGTTTGGTAAGAAAACATGCAGAAATATTAGTAATTTAAACTGTTTGTTGTAAAACTGAAGCAATGCATTCTGGGTAGCTACAGGATGAAGAACAGGAACCCCTTTTCAAAATAAGAGTGTGAATTTAAAATGCTCTGTGTTTATTATTTATTTATTTATTTGTTTATTTATTTATTTAATTAATATTTATTGCCGCGGTGTCCCTCAGTGAGGAGGTACAAACTGCACAGCTGAGCATGGTTCTGCAGATCAGTACCGCAGGTGGATTATCACCCAGTGAAGTAGATCCAATTGCTTCCCGCAAAGAATTGTGAGAACTCTGTACTAAATGAAAACCGTCACCAAGAAGAAAGTCAGAGTATAAAGCTCTGTGAACACAATGTTACCAGAGGGGTCACTGTGTTCACACACTGGAGCTCCCCTCTAATGTTGAAGAAAATTATGAAGTTTTAATGAATTATGTGGCTACAGAAAGCAGTAGGTTTAGACGGCTATTTCCCTTTACTTTAGACAAAATTTACGATTGAATGTGAAACATTATTCGCGATTAGCGCTTCTCATTTCAGATTTAGATATGGCGCAAATCCGCACGCCATTTAAAGAAATTAATAAAACCCCTAAAGCACAAAGGAGAAATTTACGTCCAAAATTAGCGCTTTTGCGTTTTAGGGGACTAGTGCCCACCACTGTTTAACTCTATATGACCAAATAGGTAGAGGTAGAAGCCAATGGCTCGTTGTGCCTCACCTTGAATTCTCCAAAACAAAATACACAAAAAACGCATGTATACTTTAACAACATCCCGGTTATTTTCACCATTTTCTGTATACAAAATACAAATCATGTTTTTTAAATCAAAAATAATATTATTGTCAGTACATGCAAAAAAATGGTAATATATTACCACCACCATCATCACAACTGACTAATATAAACCATAACTCATAATTTATATCTGTAACACACAAGAATTTATTTATTTGTTGCCAAATTCCAAGATATACATAAATAAATTGCAGGATTTAATGATATTTATATGAATTATATGATATTCAGTGAATTTGAATGTTAAGTTTAGTTCACCTGGGATTTTATTTTTGGGTGGGTTTTCTGTCTGTCACATTCTGCATGTGTTACTCCTCTGGGATATTATTCTAACCCTCACTGTGCCTTATTATTTACCACAGCAGTGTAAACGCCTGATCAGCTGGTACTCACTTTGTCAACTCAAGTCTTCTGTCGCACAGTGTTGTGTAGTCTCCTCTTCCTGTTGTGTTGCATTGGCCTAGGTTCAGCTAAGCTGTAGTGTATGTAAAAAAACAAACAAACAATATTTGCTCATAAGTGTTGGATTTGCTGATTTGATTATAGCTCAGTTTGTTTACAAGAATCTATTTTTTGTCTGTTTACCCAATTGATTTTCAATGTTTAAAATCTGCTAAATGTCATGAGTAAAAAAAATAATAATAGTCTTGTAAATGTAGTTTGAATGAGGACATAATCGGTCAGATATTCTTGTCAAATATGAATTCGTACTGATAGAATCTACAGTATTAATGCTTGACCTAGACCTGTGTTCGTGCAAAAAGAGCTGCTGGCTGTGCTGTTACTTGATGTCCTACTTACTGTGTTTTGTTCACTGCCAAAGAAATCCAAAAGTACTGCAGTCCCTAACAACGATTGAGCTTTGCAAATGAAGGGGTACACAGAATTTCTGTGAGCTTGTTTGGTTGGCCATTGAGAAGATAAAGGAACTCAAACTCAAAGCAACAGATACCAGTTTTGGCATTCACCGCACCAACAAGAGCAAACTAATTCTGTGTATTTCCTTCACTGTGTAGGCTTGAATGTCACCAGCAGCTGCTTTTGGTTTAACGTTCTTTGTGTGGCTTTTCCCTATAGAGGGTGAGTTAACTGATCAGGCCAGCTGCCCACGGTCCAATGGCTCTGATCCCCAGACGGTCATCAGTGACACGGCACTGCTTTCTGGCACAGCGAGGGGGAAGGTGGCCACCTACCTCTCTCCTCACAGCCCCACGTCCAGACACAACCCCTTCAACGAGAACTCCGACACGAATACCTCAGCAGATGTCACGCCCGTTCACGTGGCCAGGCATTACAATATCGCCGGAGATGAGGCGGAGATTGACGGCTGTGAGCTTGAAGTCATAAGGTGCAGTATCTTTATGTTTTAGMATTAAAGGGCCTGTGACATGCAAATACTTCACATACAAAAAGCCCGTTGATACGGGCTGTTAGGTCCCTGTATGACCGGTGTCAAAGTTTGGTCTACATTGCCGGTAGTAAGTCGGACTTGTTTCCGGTGAGAGTTGGACTCCGCCAAGGTTGACCTTTGTCACAGCTTCTGTTCATAACTTTTATGGACAGAATTTCTAGGAACAGCCAAGGTGTTGAGGGGAAACTTTTAGTGACCTTAGGATCACATCTCAGCTTTTTTCTGATGATGTGGTGCTATTGGCTTCATCAGATCATGATCTCCAGCTCTCACTGTAGCGGTTCGCAGCCAAATGTGAAGTGGCCAGGATGAGGATCAGTGCCTCCAAATCCGAGACCATGGTCTTGAGCCGGAAACGGATAGGTCCTGCCCCAAGTGGAGGAGTTTAATTATCTCTCGGTCTTGTTCATGAATGAGGGAAGAATGGAGCGAGAGATCGACAGGCGGATTGGTGCTGCATCTGCAGTGATGCAGGCGCTGTACCGGTCTGTCGTGGTGAAGCTTTTGGTTTACCAGTCGGTCTACGTTCCTACCCTCATCTATGGTCACGAACTTTGGGTAGTGACCGAAAGAACGCGATCACGGATACAAGCGGCTAAAATGAGTTTCCTTCGCAGGGTGTCTGGGCTCTCCCTTAGAGATAGGGTGAGAAGCTCGGTCATCCAGGAGGGACTCAGAGTAGAGCCGCTGCTCCTCCATGTCGAGAGGAGCCAGTTGAGGTGGCTCTGGGATCTGGTTAGGATGCCTCCTGGACGCCTCCCTGGTGAGGTGTTCTGGGCATGTCCCACTGGGAGGAGGCCCAGAGGAAGACTCAGGATACGCTGGAGGGACTATGATTCCCAGCTTGCCTGAGAACACCTTGGGATTCCTCTGGATGAGTGGACCCAAGTGCTTGGGAAGAGGAAAATCTGGGTCTCTCTGGTTGGGCTGCTGCCCCCGCGACCCGATTCCGGATAAGCAGAAGAAAATAGATGAACGGACAAAAAGTCAAAGAAAACATCTTTATATCTAAGAAACTGTGCATAATGCACATGATTTTAAGCATTTGGTCCCATAACCGGCGTATTTTCTTTTGAACTTAGCTCAGCCAAAATGAAACAGGAAGTGACATCAAAGGGGAACTCCTTGGTCTTTGTTTATTTAATATTATTTGAACTCTGACTCTTCATCTTTCTGATAGAGACTCAAAATAGTCTAAAGAAACATCAGATTCTTCTCTATAGTCTGTGTTGTTGGCTGTTATATCAACGCTCTGTTCAATTGCAGACATTCCCCTTTGACATCACTTCCTGTTACTTCACATGCAAATATCTCAACAACTTTTCATCTCAGCGACGTGCAATTTTTTCTGCAATATGTTCTCCATATTATCTTTAAAAAAATGCATTCATATTTAATACAGAAACTTGAAGTCACAGGCACTTTAAGGGTCAGATTCGGTCCATTCTCAGAGCTACAGCTAACCCTTCTAATTATTCCAGGATGGCCAAACGAAGGAAACCAACCAGGAAGCGACGAGCGAGGGGATCCACGGATTCCAGCAGCAGCATCCATAACTCCTTCTCCTCTGAACACATAGAAGCAGAAAATGGCATCTGCACCTCAGAGGATGATTCGATGAACTCCGCTGTCGTAMAGCCGGAGAGCGAAGGGGAGCTCAGCAGAAGCAGGGTCGGATCAGCGATTGCGGAGGAAGAAGGCGAGGAAAGCGCTGAAGGTCTCCTGCGTCTCCCGGAGATGACAGACACCTCCATGAACAGCGTTGGCCAGCCCCTCCGCGACGTCATGGACCAGCTCAACGGCTCCTGGGAGCACCCCGGAGCCAAGAAGGAGGAGGAGACAAGCACCCAAGTCGCCGATCAGAGCTCTGAGCCTCCAGCGCAGCGGCCCTTTCGAGAGGATTCAGAGGGAAAGCCGCCCGACCCAGCTCCAGGAGAGACGGTTGTCTCCCCTCTGGACACAAGTTCCAGCTCCCAGCAGGCCTCTGCTGTGTCTGCAGACCTGTGCAGCTCTGCCCCCACCAGTCCAGACTCTGCTCACACAAGTGGTGGCCACAATGACTCTACAGAGCAAAGCCAGCCACAGACTCTGTCAGCTAGCCTTGAAGATGACAAAGAAGCAGAAGCGGCAGCAGGACAGAAGTCCAACATGAAGGAAGAGAAGGACGAACGAGAAGATCCAGAGCAAGAGGAGAAGCTTAGTCCTTCTGAAATGTCTCATCCGGCCGAGTTTAAGTAAGAAACTGAAACAAGATGAGTTTTTTTTTCCTTGTAGCCGTGTTGTTTGATGTTTGTCTTTTTGTCCTTCGTATGTCAGGGTGGACAACAATCACTTGCTTCTTCTAATGATTCATGTGTTCAGAGAAAATGAGGAGCAGCTTTTCAAGGTAAAAACACAAAAAAGCTTTTTATTCCTGTTAAAACCTTCAGAGGGTTTATGCTTGTACTCAGTGGTGGGCACAGTTCCACTTAAGCACTACTAATAGGGGAACTAATTTCCTCATTAGTGCTTTAGGGCTTTTGCTAAATGTAAAATTTATTAGTGGATTAGCACTTGCTAAATTTAGAAACACTAACTGAGGTCTATAAATGTTATTGGTCAATGTTAGTGTTAACAGCTGAGGGTGAAATTTGTCAAACATTTTGTTCACATGTGTCACTTATCCACCTGGTGACATATTAACAATATAYGAACCCTGAGGAATATCAATGATAAGCCTTCAGAGAGCAACATGGCATTATATGACTCATGTTGTCTGTTGAAGAATGCTCATGGGTTGACTGGGTTATTTTAGTGCTTTAGAATTAGCTTTTGCTAAACTTTCAGTGTGTTAGTGCTTTAAAATTAGGGGACCTAAATATTTGAGTTAGTGCTTTAGGGCTAGTGGAACAAATTTTTAGATTAGTGCTGTCCACCACTGCTTGTACTTTATTTAAGTTTACTTATCACTTAATTTGTTGTAACTTTAGCAGAAAAATCAGATAATATCTTTTATTTAAAAAAGCACTTCAGTGGTTTTATCTGTTACCAGGAAAGATGACGAATTGGTTTCTACATTTGTTTTGAAATTAAGGAGGTGGTTTGCAGTTTCATAGAGGAAATAAGTCTGCGCTTTATCACCTTTTTTTGCTGCCTTTTCTCAGGCTGAAAATATAAATGTTCACTTTCTTACACCAAACAGTGCAATCAAAATGTTCAAATGATTTTTTTAACCATTGTTCCTCTAAATGACCAACAATATTGAGCTAATCCTCCATAAAGAGTGATGATTTTATTTAAAAAAAAATTAAAAAGAAGTTTTTCAAGATTTGATTTCATATCTTTGTGTTTTTAGATGGTAAGAATGAGTACGGGTCATATGGAAGGAGACCTGCAGCCTCTTTATGTGCTGCTGACTGACTGTTACATCTACTTGCTGAGAAAGGGTGAGTGGACAAAGCAACATGAAATACAAAAATTTGAAGCTGATGTCCTTGTGTTTTAGCACATATGTGAGATTAAATCTAATCGACATACACAAACATGAACCAGAGCGCTTAAATTAATTTATATATGTATATTTTTTATTATTTTCAGGAGCAGCAGAAAAGCCCTACACAGTTGATGAGGCTGTTTCTTACAATGAGCTTGACTATATTTCTGTAAGTTACCTCAACTTGCTTAGTTATGGTGTTTTTAATATACAAGTTTTTTTTAGTTGAAAAAATCAACTTTTTTTATTTTGCCRCTGTGGAACTAATGGTTAATGATTAATAATTATTGACATCATATTTATTGATGGTGCAGAACGTGTGTTGGGTTGATGAGGGACAGTCGTAGCTTTGTTTTTTAAAAAAACGTAGTGATGGTGTTTTTCCTGTTAGGTGGGCCTCGACCAACAGACCGTGACTCTGGTTTGCACCAACAGACGACGAAAGTTCCTGTTGGACACTGCTGATGTCTCACTGACCATGTGAGTGGATTTCTGCGTGTGTCTCGCRTATTCCCTCTTATTTACCAAAGTTAGGCTAAACGGAGGATCRTCTCCTCTCTAACCTCCGGTTTGTTCATTTCTCAGCTGGTTCCTGTCCGTCCTGAAGTCGGCCATGGTTCAGGGCTGCCGTGAGCCTCCCTATCCGTCTGTTCTGACAGATGCTACGATGGAGAAGCTTGCTTTAACTAAATTTGTCTCCCAGGAGTGTCACAGTGAGGTGACGTTATAAGTTTTCATTACAGCTCTGGTATTTACAAAGAGAAAGTGTTTTGTTTTCCAGCTCCTCTTTATGCTGTAATGTCAGTTGAAGAATATCAGTACGATTTCAAGATAATCAGTGTGCATTGCCAATGCTATTGTGATTCATTTCCCATCCAAGTCATCTCCACTTTGGCATGCTTCTCCTCCTGCATACTTTGTCCTAGAGCTGCCATTGTAATTTAAATCTGTAAAGCTCCTGTGCCAAATGATTGCTATGCCTTTTGGTGCCTGTAAAACATATAGTTTTTGAAATACTAATGTTTTAAATGGAGTCAATGGAGCCTTGTATGCGTCCAATACTGCCCCATGCTGTATCTACTCAGTACTGTACCATAGTTTAATAATATTTAAACTCAGTAGTTCAGTGTTTACAATACAAACATGATTGTATTTTAATATTTCACTATAATATTGTCCTAATATTCCTTTATTGTTGTAATATATTGCAGTTTAGTGTCAACAATTGCAGTGGCAATATGGCCTCTTTCAGCACACATACAAACCTAACACTTGGAGTACCTACTGCAACAGCTCTTATAGTCTCATAGTGAACACTATGGGCTTTCATGTGGGAGATCAGGGATCAATCCCAGCTATAAACAAAATATTTCATTTAAACTACATATTTTCTAATTGTCATATTCTCACACAATTACCCTCATTACAAACAACTGCTGACTTGGCAGGCACAAGCTGGTACTTGATTAGCAAACACATTTCAACTTGGTCACAGTTCAAGCTGCAGGCAAAGGCATGCTGAAATGGCATGCTACAAGGCAATGAACACTTGTTTTTACATCGTAAAAACCCATGTCTAGTGTTGTTTTGTTTTCTCATTATCCAAAAAGTTAGCAACAGTTTTTAAAGTTCTGCTTTTACACCATTATTAATTGYTAACTTTACTTCTGCCGTCTTCAGATTACAAAGTCTCTGGTTGTTGTCTGACCTTCAAAGCAGAAGTTAACTCACTGCTTCCCTGTTTCTCCAGTTATCYGAAGTGTCGATCCATCTCTACTCGTTGGTTCACTGGGAGGACCCTTTGGATTTGACCTTGTCTCCCCAAGCTGACACTCCAACCTCYGGAATAACCTCCAGCACAAAAGAAGGAACTATACTGTACAGGTCTGGGACTACGTACCTGGGTAAAGAGKTGTGGAAGAGCTGCTACCTCRTCCTCAGGTACAAATGGGTCAAACRCAGTTCTAATCACAGTGCTTCATTTAGCATCAAATCAAAAGACTTTGAAACTAAATATTACAGGTGGGAATYTTTAATATCTCACRATTTGATTCAAAATMGATTTTTYGTTCAAACCTGAWAATGTGAGCCCATTTGTGGTGTTCCCAAAGTGCTTCCWCYTCATTTTGCAAACCTTGCACTCAGTATAGTTATAGTCAAACTCAGACTCCTTCAGTCAAAAACCTAAAGGAGCCCAAGTCTTTGCATTGAATGAAGATGGGGCTGGTTAAATCTCTTCCCTCCAGTTCTGTAGTTTCCTCTTTGCTTTGGTGCTTTCTGCACATGCATACGTTCCAGAACCGGCTGCGTGGTGANGACATTAATGTTATACAATAACAATGAAATCAATTCACATTTTAAGCTGTTATAATTGATTAATAATCGATCCTCAATTGTTGCATGCCTATTATTATATATTGTGTAGAAATGTATCATGTCTATTATTGTTTTTTTTAATATATTTGTCCAACATGTGAACATGTGACATCTGCTCTGGTTGTGTGCAGTAAAGGGATTCTGTACCTGTATTCAGAGAGGACAGACGTGACCCCTCTGCTGTCGGTCACCATGGGGTAAGCTTCAGAACGCTGGCAGACTGACTGCTGAGGACGTCCTCTGGGAGGCTGACGATCTCTTTGTGTTTGTTGTTAGAGGCGAGCACTGCGGAGGCTGCCGCCGCTCAAACCACACAGATCGCCCTCACGCCTTCCAGGTCATTCTGACGGAGCGCCCCCCGCTGGTGCTCAGCGCCAGCAACGAGGAGGAAATGGCCGACTGGATGCAACTCCTCTGTCAGTCAGTCTCTAAAGGGGTAAGAGGGAAGATCTGTTATAATATAGATTATTTGTTTTATTCTAATGCATTCATCACAACTGTAGATTATATTAAACAGACTAAAACAGATGTTGCACATCCTGTTAAATGTTGTATGACATCAGCTCTGTGGGGGTTGCTCAGTAAAATATTTATGTGCAAAATTAAACCGGAGCCATTTTTCTTTTTTACAGTAACAGCACTGTCACTATCTTCCCTGCAGGTTATCCCCCAGGGCGTGGCCCCCACTCCATGTATCCCATGCTGCCTGGTCATGACAGACAAGTCGCTGCTGACCTGCCATCAGGACTGTCAGACTAGTTTCTTCCGCTCGCTGGGCAGTGCAGAGATCTGCGACGTCACCGCTGTGAGCCTGGAGTCTGACAAGGAGTACTGCRTCATCGTGAGTGACCTGCGCAGCGCCACCTACTGCTGCTTCAGCTTAAATCTAATTTTATAGATTAGAACAGGTTTATTGATTAAAAACATATATAAATCTATAGATATTTTATCTCGAAAGCAAGTAGTTTTGCTTTAAAGGGTGAAGTCTTTAGCGTAAAAATTCTCATATGTAATACTCGTCCATTGAAGAACTTTTCTATAACCTAACAAAATAAAATATTTAAACAGGTCTGATGATAAAGCTTACGTCATGATTGAACAATACATTTTTTAAAAACGTATTTAAAATTCATTAAATCAGGAAGTCTCATGAGATTAATGTCTCATTTTTTTAGCAAATCGTGGTCAAGATGATGCAACATTACAAAGTTCCAAGCTAAAAATTAGAATTAATATCAAAACACACAAACAAAAGAAGTCGATCAAAATTTAAACTACTGTTTTGTTTGGTAGGAGTTTGCATCAGATCGGGTCCAGTTCCTCCCTCCGTGGGTTTTATACTTCAGCAGTTGTGAAGAGAGAGATCGAGTCCTTCAGGAGTTAAAATCTGCATGGAGAGCCATTTTCCAGGTCAGAGGAAACTGTCATTTTTCATGGAATAAAGTAAAAATAAATGCAGTTTTATAAATAAACTTAGTACAAAAAAGTAAGGAAATTTGTGTTTGGTGGATTATTTCTTTGTTGTAATGATGCTTCTTGGCAATAAATCTTATTGTTAGAAAGTCTGTTAATTTCTCTTTTAAAGGGATCCCTGATTAGTTGTAACATTAGACTTTATTTGATAAACATATATTT